GTTGCTGCTGTTCCTTCGGTTGCTGCGGTTGTTGCTGTTGCTGCTGCGGTTGTTGGTGCTGCTGCTGGTGCTGCTGCAGTCAGTCTCTGCTGCGGGAGAGCAAAGCAGCTGAGAGTACTCAGTATGCTGCTGCTGCTGAGTCCACCCCGCCTTGAAAAGCTGCGGTGGTAGAAGATAGTCTGACGGGGCACCTCAACCTCACTGCGCCGCTGCTGCTGCTGCTGCTGCTGTTGCTGCTGCTGCTGCTTTCGATGGTAGTGAAGAGGAGGAGGGGCTTTGATGCGGAGGCGTCGCTGCAGCTTTGCTGCTGCCCGCCGCTGAGCAGCCCTGCAGCGGCTCTTGTCTCTTTTGCTGCAGCACATCTCCAGTGTAGGACTCCAACAATTGCTGCTGCTAATCTGCTCCTTTTGCTGCTGCTGCTGCTGCTGTTGCTGTTGCTGCTGTTGTTGTTCCTGCTGCTGGTCGTGCTGGAGCGGCTGCTGCAAGTTCTTGTCCTGTTGCCGTTGCTCGTGTTGCTGCTGCGGCTGCTGATCTCTGCTCAGCAGCTGCTTCGGCTGCTGCTGCTGCTGCTGCTGCTGCTTCTCTTGCTGCTGCTGCTTCTCTTGCTGCTGCTGCTGTTGCTGCTGCTGCTGCATGCGCTGCAGCAGCATGCGTTGTTTGGCTTCTTCAAGTGCTCGATGCTCCCTGCTGAGGGCCTCAATAACTCCGTTTGTTAGGGGCCTCCCGCAGAGCTGCACATACACCTGACGTGCTGTCCCCCTTTCAGCTGCCCTCTCCTGCATGCAGTTGCTGCTACTGCAGTTGCTACTGCTGCAGTTGCTGCTGCAGCTGTTGCTGCTGCTGCTACAGTTGCTGTTGCAGTTGCAGCAGCAGTTGCTGCTGCAGTTGCTGCTGCCGTTGCAACAGTAGCTGCTGCAACAGTTGCTGCTACTACAGTTGCTGCTACTACAGTTGCTGCTGCAGTTGTTGCTGCAGTTGCTGCTGCTGCTGGTCATCTGCTGCTGCTGGATAGCGAGGCGCACGAGCTGTGCATCTGTTACAAAGAGGAGACAGCAAAGCAGACGAGAGAAGAGAGAAGGGCCCAGTAGCCGCAGCAGCCGCTGAAAGGGGGGGGCCCCCAAAAGGGGTACTGCCTCATTTAGGGGCCCCTCTATGCTGCTGCTGCCGGGGGGCCCCCTTTGCCTCGAAAGCCCCGCTATTAACGCGTTCTTCGCAACAGCTGAACATACACCCCAACCCACACATGCTCACACGCGCGCCTAGCAGCAGCAGCAGCAGCAGCAGCAGCAGCAGCAGCAGAGTGCAAGAGACAGGCGGCAGAGACAGGTATCTCTACAAAAGGAAGGACATGAGGCTTGCCTGCTCTGCTGCGTGATGCTGCTGAGCGAGGAGAAGGCAGCAGCTGCAGCACGGATTCGCGCACGCACTGCTGTACCGCAGCAGCAGCAGCAGCAGCAGCAGCAGCTGAACTGCTGCAGGTTGTCTTGCTTCCTCGTATTGCTGCTGCATCACTGCAAACGCATCAACACAGCATAGCAGCACAAAACCCCTTAAAGGCCCCTCAATCTCCAAATCAATTCCCTCTTAACGCACACTTAGGGTTTGGGGGCCCCCCCTTATAGAGAGGCCCCTTTGGGGGCCCCCCCTTATAGAGAGGCCCCTTTGGGGGCCCCCCCTTATAGAGGGGCCCCTTTGGGGGGCCCCCCCTTATAGAGGGGCCCCTTTGGGGGCCCCCGCTTATAGAGGGTCCCCTTTGGGGGCCCCATCATAAAGTGGCCCCTTTGGGGGCCCCACTATAGAGGGGCCCCTTTAAGGCCTCCATTATAGAGGGGCCCCTTTGGGGGCCCCCTTTGTTAGAGGGGCCCTGCGGGTCTCCCCTGAGGGCCCCTGCGGCACTGAATTGTAATTTTAATAGACATTTCTATCTAAATAATTATATTGTTAATAAACACTTCTACCTAATTAATCATAATGTTAATAAACAAAACAATTATTATTCTTCTACGCCTTTACTATGGGGCCCCGAAGGCCCACTGTAAGCTGCGGGCTTACGTAGGCAGACCGGGCCTGAAGCAGAAGGGGGCTTGCTGCTGCTGCTGCTGCTGCTGCTGCCGTTGCCGCTGCCGCTGCTGCTGCTGCAGCAACCCCCCCACGTCCTCAATGAAGAGACACCCCCGCAGCAAATCCAAACTCCCGTCTCGCGCCCCACACCACCGCAGCGCGCACCACTCACACAAGCAACAGCAGCAGCAGCAGGGGCGGCTGCTGCTGCTGCTGCTGCTGCTGCTGCTGCTGCTGAAGGTGGGGCTGCTTGTGTTGCTCCAGCTGCCCGTCCAATTATTGCAGCAGCTGTTTTCGCTGCTGCTGCCGCCACCACTCCAGGGAGCAGTTCTGCCTTTTTTCTGCTGCTGCTTCTGCTGCTGCTGCTGCTGCTGCTGGGAAGCAGCAGCAGCTGCTGCTGCGCGGCAGGGAGCAGAGCCCCCCACAAGGCGAAGACAATACATCCCCAGTACATACACCGGAACACCAACAGAAGCCTGCAGCTGCTGACGGGCTTCTTCTGCTGCTGCTGCAGGGCGCAGCAGCTCCAAGAGCTCCTCTCTAGAGTGACGCTGCGCAACAACGACCCCCTGCTGCTGCTGCTGCTGCTGGTGCTGGTGCTCCTGTAGCTGCTGCTGCTGTGGCTGCTGCTGCTGTTGCTGCTGCTTCTGTGACAGTTGCTGGTGCTTCTGTACCTGCTGCTGCTGTAGCTGTTGTTGCTGCTTCTGCGGTAGCTGTTGTTGCTGGTGCTGGTGCTCCTGTAGCTGCTGGTGCAGATACTGCTGCTGTAGATGCTGCTGCTGCAGCTGGTGCTGCTGCCGCGGCACCAGCTGCTGCTCTCGTTGTTGCTGTTGCTGCATTTGTAGAGAGAGCTGCAGAGGCTTCTGTTGCTGCTGTTTCTGCTGTCTCTGCTGCTGCTGCTGTTGCTGCGACTGTTGCTGCGTGCGGTGCTGTATCTCGGGCTGCCTAGGCAGCGGTTGCTGCCGCAGCAGCAGCAGCAGCTGCTGCTGCTGTTGTTGTTGCTGCTGCTGCTGAGAGGAGCTAGAGACCAGAGGGCCCCGCATCTCCCCCACTGAGATATCCTTTGGGGGGCCCTCACAGCCAATGCGCTGGAGCGTGCGTGGCCAGCTGCAGCTGCTGCTGCTGCTGCTGCTGCTGGTGCTGCCGCTGCTGCTGCTGTTGTTGCTGTTGCTGCCAGACGTAGGCTGCTGCTGTCTGGGTGAGAAGCGCTTCATCTTTTCTTGCTCGCTGCAGGTTTCTTCATTCTGCTGTTGCTTCGTTTGTTCTTGTTGCTGCTGTTGCTGTTGCTGCTGCTGCTGCTGTCGTAGGAGCCTCTGCAGAGCTTGCTGCTGCCTCCGCAGCAGTTGCTGCTGCTGCTGCAGCAGCACCAGCGCTTCAGGATCCCCTTCAGCAAGCCCCGAGGGGGGAGCTCTCCAGGGGCCTCCTCTGGGGGGCCCCCCCATTGCATGCAGCCGCTTGCTAGCTGAGCAATACCTCAATAGGGGCCCCCCAGAGGCTCCTTCTAGGGGCCCCTTCAGGGGCCCCTAATGCAGGGGGGCCCCTCTAAGGGCCCCTACTGCATGGGGGCCCCCTAAGGGCCCCTGAAGAAAGGGGGCCCCCCTAAGGGCCCCTAATACAGGGGAGCCCCCCTTAGGGCCCCTGAAGAAAGGGGGCCCCTTCTAAGGCCACAGAAGAAAGGGGGGCCCCCTTAGGGTACCAGATTAAGGGGCCCCTCTAGAGGGCCCCTTAATAGGGCTTCTGATACAGGGGGCCCCCTTTATAAGGGCCCCTAGTGGAGGGGGCCCCCTTTATAAGGTTGTCGGATACAGGGGGCCCCCTTTATAAGGGCCCCTAGTGGAGGGGGGCCCCCTTAGCGGCCCCTGATGCTGGGGGCCCCTCGTTGAGAGGTTTGTCTTGGCTAAAGGGTAGTGCCCTCCCCTTAGAACAGCTAATCCCTAAACCCTAAACCCTAGAGAAGATAAACACCGAAGAAGACAGAGCCTTCAAACCCTAAACCCTAGAAAAGTTAAAGTGCAGCGGAAATAAAGCCTTTAAACACTAAACCCTAAACCCTAGACACTCTAGACCCTAAACCCTAGAGTAGAAGAACCCTCTAAACCCTAAACCCTAAACCCTAGGGGAAAAGTTGTTCGGAAGATGAGGCCCAACAACCCTAAACCCTCTCTAAACCCTAAACCCTAGGAAAGAAAACCCTTGCAAACCCTAATCAGTTGTGTTGTAAGAAGAAGCAAAATGAAGGGGGTTTATAAACAATTGAGGACCCAAGATAAAGAAAAGAAGAAGAAGAAGAAGGAGAAGAAGAAGACAGGAGGTGGTGCTGAGCTGTCCATACATACACCGCAGGAGCAGCAAACATATCTGGGCCTCAGTCTGTCTATAAACAAACAAAAAATAAATATAATTTTCTATATTTTATGTATTATTCAACAATTAAATATATTCTTCTTCTACTCTTCTCTCTTCTACCTTCACTGTCTACACACACACTCGAGCTGGGGGGCCCCCCAAGGTTGGGGGCCCCCTAAGGGGGGCCCCTCAACTAATAGAGGCTTTGATTGTTTCTGCAGCAAGAAAAATATATTAAGCAGTTATTTACTTGTAGAAATATATTTATTTATTTATATATTTATACTGTAGAACGAGGTTGGGTTGCTGCAGTACGTAGAAGAATACAAAGAGAGAGTCTCTTGCTGCTGCTCCTGCTGCTCCTGCTGCTGCTCCTGCTGCTGCTCCTGCTGCTGCTGCTGCTCCTGCTGCTGTATTCCTTCTTCAGGAGTCGTCTTCCTGCTGCACTGCTGCAGCAGCCTTCTTGCTGCCGCAGCTCCCTCATTTTTGGTCTTCCTGCTGCTGCTGCTGTTACTGCTGCTGCCCACAACAGCAGCTAACACACCAACAGCGCGAGCAGCAGGAGCAGGCGGAAGCGCAGCAGCAGCAGCAGCAGCAACAGCAGCAGAGCGGCGGTCCCCATTGTGAAGAGCTACATCGGGCTACAGCAAGGCGTTGCAAAAGCGGTCTACATCTGTCTCCTCTTCCTGCTGCTGCTGCTGCTGCTGCTGCTGCTGCTGTGACAATGCACCGGGGTCTTCGCCTACTGTGCAAGCAGGCAGCAAGGGGGGCCCCCTTGCTGCGGGGGCCCCCCTTGCTGCTGTTCTCAGAGCCCCTTTGGTTGTATAACGGAAAGAGGCTGATAAGGGGTAGTGCAGCAGCAGCAGCAGCAGCACCGACTAATGCCCCCGCAGCAGCAGTAGCCGCAGCAACAGCAGCAGAAGCAGCTGTGGCTGCTGCTGCTGCGGCTGCTGCGGCTACGCCTGCACATCGGGGAGCTTCTTCAGACTTTGCTGCATCTCGGGATGTCCGTACAGACGCACAGAGAGGGGAGGCAGCAGCAGCAGCAGCTGCTGCTGCTGCTGCAGCAAGTGCTGCAGCAACAGCAGCAGCACCAGAAGGCAAGGCAGCGGAGACATCCGTACCCAGGGAGGCTTCTAGCGACAGCAGCAGCGCTAAGGACATCAGCAGCAGCAGCAGTACCAACCTTGACAGCAGCAACAGCAGCAACAGCAGCAAACTCACAAGCAGCAGCAGCAGCAACGGCGGCAACACCACAGCACCAGAAGAAAGCCACAGCAGCAGCACCCCAAGCGCTCCCCGAAACAACACGGAGAACGAGAACAGCAACAGCAGCAGCAGCAACAGCAACAGCAGCAGCAGCAGCAACAGCAGCAGCAGCACGAAGGCGTGGTGGGATATACAGTGGACGTGGGCATTTGGCCTCTCTGCTGCTTGTGGGGCCTCCTTCAGTGTCTGGCTTCTGTATGAACTCATAGAGAGTGGTGAGTGCTGCTGCTGCTGCTGTTGCTGCTGGTGCTTTGTTGCTCTTTCTGTGCTGCTGCCGTCGTTGTGGTTGCTGCAGTTGCCTTTGCTGGGCAGCTTCGCAGTTGCTGCTGCTGCTGCTGCTGCTGCTTCTGCTGTTGATATGCTGTTCTACCATCTCTGAGGTCTCAAGTCTCAACTGCTGCTGCTGCTGCTGCTGCTGCTGCTGCAGACTTTAACTTGGCGAAGGCTGAGTGGCAGATGGGGCGACGCCTTAAAAAAATATTTTTAGGAGACCCCCCACCCTCCAGAGCTGAACTCGAGAGCAGATTCCAGGCAAGGGTTTAGGGTTTAGGGTTTAGGGTTTAGGGTTTAGGGATTAGGGATTAGGGTTTAGGGTATAGGGATTAGAGCTTAGGGTTTATGGATTAGGGTTTAGGGTTTAAACTTTAGTGTTTAGGGGTTGGGGTTCAGGGTTTATGGATTAGGGTTTAGAGTTTAGGGTTTAGGGTTTAGGGTTTAGGGTTTAGGGTTTAGGGTTTAGGGTTTAGGGTTTAGGTTTTGGTGGTTTTGCTGAGGGTGCTGCTACACTTCGCTTCTGCTTTGCCATCTGCCTGTTGAGTTTGTGGCGATCCCTTTGCATTGCTGCTGCTGTTGCTGCTGCTGCTGCTGCTGCTGTTGCTGCTGCTGCTGATGCTGTTGCTGCTGCTGCTGCTGCTGATGCTGTTGCTGCTGCTGCTGCTGCTGTTGCTGCTGCTGCTGCTGCTGCAGACTGGGTTATCTCGTGAGGTGTCTGACGAGCTGGCGTTGTATTTTATTCAATTAGACATCGATAAACGTAAGCCTTTCTCTTTTCTTTTTTTTATTTTTCTTCTTCTGTTGTTTGTTTGTTTGTTTGTTTGTTTGTTTGTTTGTTTGTTTGTTTGTTTGTTTGTTTGTTGCGTCTTTGCTGTGCTCTCCTTGGCTTCTCCTTTTGTTTACTTTTTGCTTTTCTTTGCTTTTCTCTCGTCTTGTCTTCGCGACTCTACTATATACTCTCGCAGCAGCAGCACAGCAGCAGCAAAACTGCAGCAGCAGAACAACAACAGCAGAACAGCAGCAACAGCACAGCAGCCGACCAGGAGCAACAGAGCAGCAGCAGCACTGCAGCAACACTGCAACAGTACAGCAGCAGCACTGCAGCAACGCTGCAGCAGCACAGCAGCAGCAATATGATTTTATTTAAATGTGTGCCTGCGGTGTCTGCAGCAAATGGAGTTCGTCGCAGCGACGCCATAAGCCTAGCAGCAAACGTATGCTTCTTTTTTCTTTGTCTCGTTCTTCTTCTTCTGTCTCTCTCTGTCTCTGTCTCTTCTTTTTCTGTCTCTGTCTCTGTCTCTGTCTCTGTCTCTGCTTGCGTCTCTCTTTTTGTCTGTATCTGTCTCTGTCTCCTTTTATCTTTGTCTCTTTCTTCTTTTTCTTTTTCTTTTTCTTTGTCTGTCTCTGTCGCTGTCTTCGTCTTTTCTTTGTCTCTGTCTGTCTCTGTCTCTGTCTCTTTCTTTTTCTTTCTTTATCTCTGTCTTCTTTTTCTGTCTCTGTCTCTGTCTCTTCTTTTTGTTTGTCTGTCTCTGTCTCTGTCTCTGTCTCTGT